GGAGAGGGCTGGGGACCCCGCGGTACCGCCGGCTTCCCCCCAGCATCACCCCAAGCTTGAGCTTTGCCTGATGGGGGAAGAGCAAAAAAAGGGAGAGTTTTCTTTAAGTTTCCCCTTCCTTTCGAAATACCGGACTTTTCTCCGTTCCCCGAACTCTCCTCGGTTTTAAAATAAATGTATACCCGTGCCAGGACGTTGTCGTTGCTGAGAGCGGCAGGCAGGGCACAGCTCGTCCCGACCAAGCATCACCCCAAGCTTGAGCTTTGCCTGATGGGGGAAGAGCAAAAAAAGGGAGAGTTTTCTTTAAGTTTCCCCTTCCTTTCGAAATACCGGACTTTTCTCCGTTCCCCGAACTCTCCTCGGTTTTAAAATAAATGTATACCCGTGCCAGGACGTTGTCGTTGCTGAGAGCGGCAGGCAGGGCACAGCTCGTCCCGACCACCCTAAAACCTCGCCGTTCTCAGTGCTCCAGCGAGCTAGGCTGGTGCTCGCCGTCTCCCTTTTTTGGTTGGAACCCGGGCAGAGCTTCCAGGGCACCCACATAGTCCAAAAAAAAAAAAAAAAAAATTGTAAGAACGCCCTCCAAAGAAACAGGTAAGACCAAAATTACCGTCTATTTAATTCCGATATGGGGAAGGGGGGAGCATCACCAATAACTCGATCCTGCCAGGGCTGCTCGGAGCAAACGCAATCCCAGCGAGCAAAAGAGATTTTCTACGGTTTGGAGTACCACCTGCACGGGCAGCCTGATTCCTTCACGGCTTCCAGGTGTGAATCACCTTCCGGATACTGTTGTTTTCCTCTCCGAGAGCCCCGGAGCTGGTCCCACGTTTGGCTGCTTTTTCCCCCTCGCCTGCATCTGCCCCAAAGCCTCTCTGAGCTCCGTATTGCTGTCAGATAGAGCAGTCACCGTCTGTGCTCGCTTTGCCTTTATCTTCCTGCCAGGGAAATGGTTTTAATTTCCAGGTAAATTAAGATTTTTAATGTGTTTTATTATTATTATTTTATTGTTGTTTTTCTCTGGGGTGAGCTGCTGGCTGGCAAATGTGCTGGGAGCGCGGTGGAGGCTTCGCATCTCCAGGGGAGGGCTGGGGCTTTCCTCCATAAAAACCTGGAGGAGAGGCTGTGCTTGCTCAGATGTCGGCTGTGCAGCCCCTGCTGCACCAGCAACCCGGTGGCATGTCAGTGTCCCGTTAAGTTTTTTTTTTTTTTTTTTTTTTTTTTTTTTTTTTTTTTTTTTTTAACGGGAAGTTAATTTGTTTGTCTGATGTCATTAGCACTTTCTGGGCATTTTGGATTATGGGACATGCAGTTTCGTGAGGGAAAATGTGTCCCTGTTTAACTTGTAAAATATAGATGATTGAAGTGTGTGTTTGCTTCCTTTTTGTGAGTTTCACTTTATGTTTTTTACACATAAAATAATAAAAAACACACGTTGGGAGGGAAAAATAGGCAATACCCAACCATCTGTCCAGAAAACGGCTAGTTGTCTTTTACATGGACAACCATTTTCATCAACAAAATTTTCTAAAATGCTACTCACCTCCCTAAAACTTATAATTCAGAAGGCAAACCCAACTGATTTCCTCTTAAAGCCTTGGTGTGATTTGAAGCACCGCAGAGAGCCAACCGCGGGGTACAGCAGGTCATTTCACACTGCCACGCTGCTGGCTGGAAACGCTTCTCCCAGCACTGTGGCTCTTCCCTTCTTTCAGCACCTACCCGGCCGTAGGCAGGGAGGTGATGGAAACTGTCTCGGAAACCTTTCAGTTTGATGCTGTCGTTGGTCTGTACTCAGTCATCCACCGGGTATTTTGTTTGTTTTGCTCTGTGCTGATTGTCAGCCTCCCCCGAGTGCGCATTTCATTAGGAACTATTAAAAGCGATATAAAAAAGCAGCTCTACTGTGATATTTATATGATATTTTTTTCCTGCCCATGTCTACCGCTGCTGTTCCCAGGGCTGGGCGCTGTGCATCGCCGTGTGCGGTGCCGTACAGACGCCTGACTCGGAGCCGGCCTGCCCAATCGCACTGTGCTGCGGGGGTCAGTGGCTTCACACCAGTCACTTGCCTTTGGTAATAGGATGGGGCAGCAAAGTATTTAGAGAAGCACAAGAGAAATCCCTTTTGTTTAGTGAGAGAGAGTATCAGGAGCTAGTATAATGATGTAATCATTAAAAAAACCCTGCACTTGAGTGAAGAGGGATATTAAAAATCCTGTTTCTTTATATTTGCGTGTGATTCTTTTTACCTGTGCAAAGAGTTGTTCATTCTCTCTTATTATTATTACTAAAGACAAAGGTGTGTAAAAATACTCTGAGCTAGAAAGAACACAAAGAAAAAAGGCAGGAGAAGGTAAAAGTAGAAGATTAAGAAGCACAAGTTTTTGGGTATAGACACGCGAAAGCAACTTTTTCCTCCTCTGTGCGTTCACAGGGCTCTTTTGAAAGGCATCCAGCGGATGTCAGGAAAAGGGTGGTGTCAGCCCGTGGGCACAGCCAGGCTCTGCCCTCCCAACACTGATCGAGGAGTGTGATCAGGTCCTGCGTCTCCAAGTACGTTCCCGCTGCGCCAAACACCCCAAAAGTTGGTGCTCGTTTCCGTTGCAGTAGCAGGGGCTGGGGCATTTGCACACCTGTGGGCTGGCGATATTGATGGTCTGGTGGTGGTTCTCGAGGGAGAGAAGGACCCTGGGATTCAGGTGCAGGCACTGGAAATGTGTCCAGGAGCAGGCTCTGCAGCACAGGACCTTTACTGTGCCACAACACAGACAGCGCTGCAGATGACGACGAGCGAGGCAGCTAAACCCCACAGGTGTCCTCACCTCAGTCCCTGGGGCAGGGCCATGTGCATGGGATGCTTTAGCAGTGAGGTGCCACGGTTTCTCTGGGGCACAGAGGTGTTACGAAGAGCCCTGCTCCCCTTTCTGCCAGCAGCATCATCACACTTAGGACACGCCAGGTCAGAATATGAATCAATTAACATCCAAGTCTCTGCTGCCTCTCCCCTGCTACTACAGGAACTTTCTCCGCAAAGTATTTATCCGATCAATAAAATAAAATAAAATCCACAAATAAAATCCCCAAATACCCACCTATTTTCTTCTCTCTGCAGTTCTAGGCACCTTGGCTAACATTTAGAGTTACAATTATGTTTAAAACCAAAGCCACTGATCACTAGCACCCTCAGTGACAAATACACGCAGAATGTGAACCACCCAGCCCCGGGGAAGTCCCCATCCCAGCCTGGACACTGCAGTGGTGTGCGCTGAGCCTTGCAGGTAACAGGCAAAGGCTTTGGGAACAGGCTGCTTATGCCAGAAAGTTTGGTGCAAACAAGGGCAAAGCCCCCTGAGACTGAGACAGATGAAGGAAACAGTCGCTCCCTAAGCCATCCTCTCCTTCACCAGCCAGCTCCTTCCAGGCTGGGAAGCAACGCCTGCCGGGTTGGTGGTAGGAGGCTGCAGTTTCTAGACAGTCTGGGCAAGCTTTTGGGAAGAGGTTATCATGTGTTTGGAGAGCGCAGGGGCCCCTGGGAAGAAGGAAGGGCTGAAGAGGCATTTTGTTCATTTTTTTTTCCAGAGATTTTTCTCTTGAATAAATGAAAAGAGTTTTTACTCCCCAGTCCCAACTTGTTCAGTGACAACTGCTGGCTATTTCCTGTTCTCCCTTTGCTGCTCTCCTCAAGAAGCTCGAGGAGTAGGGGAGAGATCGTTTAGAGCTGGCTATCTTTTTTTTAAAAAAAAAATATTTAAATTTTTTTTTAGATTTTTATGTGTTTGGGAAATGCTGGGGTGGAAATGGCTTGCAGGAAATAATTTCTGGAAATAGGAAATCTTGGTGGATTTCCTATTTTTCAAGAGATCCACTGAAGTATTGTTTTTCATTAAAATTATTCTGTGAGGTTTTTTTAAATTAAATTGTTTCCTGTTAATTTATTCTAACACTTAAGTGGTTAATGTTTATTGTTTTCTGTAAAGAAAATTAAAAACCGGTCTCTAAAATCCTTCCATGAACCTTTGCTTTCTGTTTTGATTTTGAGCATTTTCCTGTTTGCTGCCCTTAACATTTTTGACTTTTTTTGGGGACTGGAAAGCAGTTCCGACCCAAGTTTTTCCCTTCTGTGGCAGGAGCTATGTAAAAGCAGATCGGACACGCAGGCTGTATGGGCAGTTATATTTGCAAAGTCTTGCTGTTAAACACAGGTGTAGTGTCAGCCCTGGAAGTACCACGGTGAAGGTGTAAACAACCTACAGCCAGGCCCATCAGTGAGCCAGGCATTGTGCGCGCTGTGTAAAATTCTTTCTACAACTTCCTCTCATTCCTTCTCTCTGCTGGCTGATGGACTTGGTGGCATTTGTTGCACTGGTTTTCTGGAGTTTCTGCAGGCGTGGGCCATGCTGAGGAGCAGAGGAGGGGCAGGTGAACGTAGAGAGGATGCTGCCTACAGCACCATGAACTCCTGAGTGTTGTAGCCTCCTGAACTGGTGACTTTGCTCTTCCTCTCTTCTGGTCCCAATAACAAACAGCATCACCTGAATTAACTACAAACTCCTGCTTGGATGGTCTCACTGGGCTTAAAATTGGCTTATTTCTGTGCCGGATTTATCTTGTTTCTATAGCATAATAGGCTTAGATGAAACACTTTAACTCCACAGCTAGAAGTGCCTTGGGGTGGCTGCAGCTACTGACATAGTATTCATGCAGCAGCAGCAATACATTGCGCTTGGTGATCAAGGCAGGTGGGTGTAAAGTGCATGCGTAAGAGAAAAAGAGGTGATCCCACAGCAGACTGCAGTGTCTTTTCTACCTGCTAGGGTACAGGTAGTCTTTCAAGGAAGAAGCTGGTTTTAACTCACGATAATGAGGTAACTCTATGATACAGGTTTCTGGAACGCCGGGAGCAGAGGCAAGCTGACCAAATTGCGTGACTCACTTTGTTCCCCTCTTGCTGAGACCACTCAACTTGCTTTCCCAAAGTAAAGACTCAGTGTTCTCTGGTGTTCTGTATCTTGTTGGCTTTGCTGTGGCTGCTGGAACAAACCCTTGAGTGCTCCTATGACACACAGAAAACTAGCCCTGTGGTATTACCTGCAGCTGCCTGCTCTGCACTCGTGATTATGCAAAGCTCTTGCTGAGCTGCTGGGTGCTGCTTTAGCATCTGCTCTATCCAGGTTTTTGGCTCAGTATCACTTCTGTTCAAAGCAGGCTTTTCTGTGAGGCAGGCTGCTTTAACTCACCCTGGCCAGCTGCCACCAGTGGAGATTCACTGCCTTTACCTATCCCCGTGAGTTTGTGCATCTAGAGCTCTTTCTCACACCACATGGGTGGTCACCGGAGTTGGTCCTTTCTTCACGTGCCTGCTTATTCTCATGAGAGAGCACTTAAGTTTGAGCAACGTGCAGGAAAATAATTGAAAAAAGGGGTATTCTTTGTGCTGTTATAATTTACTGTAGAATTGATCCCTAACAGGGGATGATAATGATCAAATGCTCGGCTTGTGGGTTGTTTGGACATTACAGCTTGTTCATGCCTATTTGAAGTATTCAATCACTGCAGGAGTGAGCCATAATCTCGTCTGGTTTACAATCCTCATCTTTGACAGTTTATTTTTAGAGATGTAATGACGGAACATGGCTTTCAGGCTCTGCCTTATTTAATGTTTTTGACTTACGAAACAGTATGTTTTTGTCAAGAGTCGGCAGCCTGTGAGCCAGCTGTCCCTACCTTTTGTGAGATGGTGGTGGGAACCCGACTCCAGTTATCGTTGAAAGAAACGCCATGGCGATGTCATTGCAGCAGCATTGCTCCTAGGTAGAACTGACCCCGGGTCTTTGACCGCTGAAGGTGGTCTCAGCTTCTACGCTTCCTGGATCTAAAATACTCAGAAATGGTGGCACTAGAAAGGGCCGGGCAAGTAAATGTGGAGAAGTTCCATTGGGTGGTGTATGCACCCTGTGACGGCAGCCTGTGCTCACGGTGAGTAACGCCGTGCTCTGTGGTAGCTGTGCTGGAGCCGTGGGACCATGGCAGGCAGGTTCTACTCCAGCTCAGTCTCTCCCTGAATACTTAAAGCAAAATTCAAGGCCTGCTTATTACTTAAATTCCTTGCCTTTCTGATTTGAAACACATTAAGTTTTGGCCGCTGCTTTCAAGCAGATGGATGTTCATAATTTACTTATATGCTTGCTCCCTTTTTGCGCCACTGTATCTGTTAGGTGCACGAAAAATTTGCATTAGTATTGAGGTAGATCAAAAGATTTTCATCCCATATATGCTGCAAATAATGTCTTTTTTTCTGGTAGAGAAAAAAAAACCAAACAAGAGTCCTTTCTAAATGATTTATGAGATGACCATGATCAGTGTTTTTAAAAAAATCTAGCCCCCCCCGCCTCGATGCAACATCGTGTAAGTATACATGGCTTCTAGTTTAGCACGGGTTTAGTATTTAAAGGTTTCCTAAAAGTTATTGTTTTATCAAAAAACTCCAAACGAAATACACCACCCACCCAAAAAGATCACCCTAATTTACAGGAGCTCTAAAAGGCAGTAGGATGACAGATAGGGAGGAAGGTGATCAATTAAGACATTAAGCATTTTGCACCACATGGACGCATCTGCATGTCAGCCAAATAATAAGGCCATCAGCTCATTTTCAGGGGGCTGTTGCCTACTTCAACTCAATCCTCAGATCAAAGAGAAAATGTCTGCTTGCATTTTCTAATCAGAAAAGGGATGCTAATTTAGGTTCCTTAATGTGTGGTGGTAAGAGACTTCTTCAATTAACTGAATTCTATAGCTCAGAAAATAAAAAAGGGGGATACAAAGGGAGTCAGGCTGGAAAGGCAGAAGTTCTCATTAAATCAAAGGTCCAATATTCATTACCTCCAGCATCTGGGGCTAAACACTAAACATGGAGATCATCAAAGGGGGTTTAATGGGTTAAATTGAGAATATAATCTAATTAAAATATTAGATACGAGTAAATAGCTCTTTGATATTCATCTGAAGGTTTCATTAAAATAGGTACTTGAGGTTTGTATTAAGGGGGGATTATCACTTTTAAGCAGAAACAACAAGTTGAGGTTCCTTAATCAGAAATGCTTCAAAGTGTTACCATTTGGTTTAAAAATGAAAGTAGAAAAGCAGCCACTGGCAGAGGACGGAACCATTTACCCAGCCTAGCCCGCTGGATCGTACCACAGGCATGCATACCCTACAAAGAGGGGGCAAACGCAGGGCCCAAAGGCGAGGAGCGAGGAGGCCGAGGCAGAGGACGGTCCTGTTCCAGAAGCTGCACTGCGATATCCAGAACGTTTCCCCTGCAGTCTGGCCCACATTCCCCACATCAGAAGACACTTCTTCCACCAAGCTTCCCCCAAAGACTATGTATGTCACAAACGTGCCCTGCGAAGCCTAACAGTCGAATTCAGCACGTGTGGTGGGAAGCTTCCTCTCTCTCAGGCGGCCAGGAGGGCTTTAAGGAAGGGAACATGCCCTTTTTCCATGATGGACAGATGCAGTGTGGGGACCAATTTTTCCCATATTAGTTGTGAGCCCGACTGGAGATCTTGCAGGGTGTATTTCAGCACCTAACCCAGTATTAGGATGACTGAGGCATCCTGAGGACTGTAGAATCTAGGTCAAACTCACCCAGGACTCTATAAAGTGAAAGGTATAGGACTTTTCCAGCAATGTCTGTCATACCTGCAATGCCTTGACTTCACTGTACACCTACTGGAAAATTGTATTTCCTGTGACACATCCAGCCAACGAAATGTTAACCCAGATATGTGTTAAGTCTTACACATTTCTGTCTTTAACAAAAGGTGCAGCTAGAAAAAGAGGAAGCCATTTCAAAGATACTCTCTCTTTTATTCCCCACCTTACCTTTCCATTGTTAGCCTCCTTCAAGGAGACTCAAACCCTTTTTTTTTCCTAAAGACTAATTCTCTCCCTCTTCTCATACAAAAAGGGACCTAATAAATTTGATAAAGCAGTTACACATAATCACAAGGTGGTTGGTTTTTTTTCTTTTAACTAGCCTATTTTCTAAGAGATTGTAGTGTGTTTTCTTCAAAATTCCCTTGCTGTGAGTTCTAATCACATTTCATATGTTGACTTAATCCATAATTTACAAAGTTAAAGAAATGGAACCATCATAAGAAACCCATCTGTTTGTTGTTATTTTTATGTATTTAATCTATTAAAAGCTGTTTCCTCTCAAACGTGTAGCTCTCAATTATCCTTAGTTACTCAATATATTTTGCAACTGCTTCTGGCTAATAGCAGATTGTCTGCATGATCAGCCAGTACTTGTTTTGAATTTTCTTGTCCCAGATGAAGCCTCAAAATTTTGGTCTTGATGTGACAACTATTCACTAACAGATAACCGAGTAACATTTGAATAATTAGTATTGTATCATTACCAACTTTGTTGCACATTTTTGTTCTCTTTCTTACCAGAGATGGATTACTTTTGGCTTTATTTCTGGACAATCTGCCAAAGTCTCCTCTGCACTTCAAAAAGAGAAACACTGCCGGTATTAAGATCATCAAATGAAAATAATGTTTATTTTTAATGTTTTGTAGATACGCCCATAGGCTTGACATGTCTAAAACTGATCCAGCTGTGACAAGCCAACAGCTGATTAGGCTGAAAGATGCAACTGCTAGATCAGTTGATTTCTAAGAAAAACAACAACAGAGATGACCATATTTAAAATGCTACATATGCAACTGTTTACATTTTTAAAAATTAGGTATAGTAGAACAGATTCTAAAATTTAACAATGATTAAACTTAAGCCACTTCACATTTCATTGGAATGGGAAACCCATATATGACAGTCATAGCTCATAATTAAATAGTTCAGACGTTTTTGCCTTGAAGAGATCCCTAATAATTTCAAAATACTTATAAGATATGAAGGGTTCTGAAAGCAGCTACAACTTGCTTCTCCTTCTCGTGTCTATTTTGCAAAGTTTCCAAGAATGTGATTTGAGGTAAACCGTCTCCATTTAAAGTCTGTAGCAGAACTCTTTCCTCTTTCACCTCTTCAGGTGATTGTCTTGCCATGAAAGTCTTTGGTTTAGGAATCTTCTTAGCATATTCCAGCGCCTAAAAACATGAAAATTGGGGTAACTGATTAAGAGAAAACCTGACCGATATTTCCAAGAAAATTTAGGCATTTCTATGTTGAGTCAAATTAATAGTTCTCCTAATTCCTGATCTTGTTTCTGACAGTGTGTTCAACACTACATCCTTTAGTGGTGACTGCAAGAAAAATCCGCAGTGGGCAAAATAACCCACATCAAGGAGATTTGCTTTCTGACACCACTGGAGCCCAACTTAAATACTGAAGCAGTGTTTTTTCTTTAAAAAGCAACATGACTCTATTAAATTTATAAACATTTTTTTCTCCCTCTTTTTTTTTTTTTTCAGTCTCATTAAGCTCTTGTCCTCAGTCATATCTCATAGCAGGGAGTTCTGCAGGTTAATATGACAAGATGGAAGCAGAGTACTCCTATGACAAATCCTAAGGAAATGTACTGAAAGGCCTAAAACGTTAAAACAAGTTTTGAAATGAAGTCAAGGTAATTGTTTTAAATTCTCTGGAACCTGGTTTAATATAATCCCTCACCAAATTCCTTTTAGGTTGATTTCAAAGCTAACCCAGTTCTGAAGAAGAAAAGCTTTCTGAACAAGTGAGGACGGTATTAGACATGCCAATCCTTAACAGGTAACTGTTTCAGAGTAAAACAAAGAATGGCCTCCCACAGACTTCCCAGAGTTCTGATGTAACCATGTATACTCTATTGCGACTGGAAATTTCTTTACCAGTAACACCCATTCAGCGCAGGACCCACACGCACTGTACCGAATACGAACAGCAGCAAGAAATAAACCACCCCTCCAACTCTTCCCTACTTCATACGGTCTGAATGTGCATATGCTGAACAAACACGCTGTGAAGCAGAGGGAAAGGAGGGCAGCAAAGGAAAACTGATAGGGACAGCGTATCTTGAAGAGCCGTACTTCCCACACCGGGCGAGTGTTTCTTTCCTTCGATCACGCGCTTTTCCAAGTATGCATTTCTGCAGCAGCATGTCGGTAAACTTGCATGTGTGAATGTGAGATGTAGGTAAAGCCTACGTTGCGCGAGCAAGAAGTACGTCAGCTCTGTTCAGCTGGACTCAGGTTCTACTGCATGATAGGCTTGACTACCAAAATTAAAAAGGAAAACGGGAGCATGCAAGCTGTTGTTCTAGATCTGCCATGTCTCACCGAAGCTGAGCAGGGCCACGCAGAAAGATGAGTGCAAAGAAGAAGCTGTGAGAGTGTCAAATAGTATGGAATGATGTATGGAATCCGGGAGGCTGTCTTGCAGAGGGAATGGAAACAGTACCACGGAAATCCTGAAACTGAGATTGCCCTGGTTTAACCTGGGATATTTTTTGATGTTTCAGTTGCATATATTTGGAAACTCCTGTTATGTCCGAAGTGGAAGCTGCATGATCTCATGTTCTTGGTGAAAGAGTGCCTGAGAAATCTTCTGAAGGAATCCAAACTCCTTCTGACATCCAAAGAATACAGTTTCATCTCTGTGGTTCACGCAAGGTTTGGAAATACATGTAAGTAACTGAGGAATTCAACTGATGTTAAACTCCAAAACATTTTTCCTGAATCATGCAGTTCTCATTTATCAATCACCTTGGAGAAATACCTGGTAGCATGCTTTCAGCACCAGGCAGGTGAGCTCCTGCAGAACTGATCGGACAAAATATATGCTATTTCCAGAGCTTTATTACTTCCTGCAACAGGGAAAAGGTGCTCCCTTTGTTTGTTTACATACGCTACTGTCATGCAGTCAGTCGTTGCTCATTTGGGCTATTTTTGAAGGCCAGTGAAGGCTAAAGTGATGTTGTATGGGCTTGAAAAATAAGACCAATTACTGTAGCTATGCAACTGAAGTGAAAAGAATTTGTGAGTGAGACTGGCAGGCAGGTGGATAATAGACTAACAAGAGGATATCTGTGGTCCATTAGAAGAGTGCACTCTGCAGTAGCGTGGTCTCTGCTGCTGACGTGAAGCAGAGCATGTCCTGCATGGGGTAATGTTCCTAGCAGGGTCCCACTTTCCTTTATTCCCACCCTTTCCCCAGGAAAACATCAGTAGCTGTTTAAGCCAAGTTGAGTGCTGGTAGCTTGGACGGAGTGCTGCTCCGTTTCCACTTGGCAGGCTCTCACGAAGAGCAAGGCAGACGCACGGACTGAAGACCGCTGTTGGCAAAGAAATCGGCGACCCTTGGCATACGGCTACAGCCATAACAGAATAGATGCACAGGTGAGCATTTGCCAGGATCCCATGAGAGTAGAAGTCCTTAGGGTTGTTAAAAGGAAAATCAAAATGGAGAAACCATTTTAGCCTACTGTGAGTTTAGTTTATGCTTTTTCTTTCTGCAAAGTCCAGAAACTCTCTCTGTACGTGTTTTAAAGGGACCCTGTTCTTACTTTCTGTCTTGACAGTGAAGATGTGACCTGTGGTTTTGTAGGCAACCTCTGAACCGAAGCAATGCTTTTCATATTGTGTTCCTTAATTTGCTTTGCATATTCCTTCTGTTGCTTTAACTTCTCTTTCTGACAAAAGGAAAAAAGTGTATGGTTAATTAAATGTCTCAGTGGATCCATCAATGAAACACTTTCTCTGCTGGCAGAGTCTTCCATTTACACCTCTGTTGCTGTTTAACCTGGCTATGCTATTGATCATTCCTCAGCAGAACACAACAGGAAATCCTGATAAATGGCACAGCTTTTTTAGTCATGCTTCATTGTTAAGAGCTTTTTCTTGGACTGTATCGAGGACAGAGCTCAACAGAAATGCAACAGACACATCTTTATTCTGAATGTTTCAATGTATCTGTTCAGTTCTAAAATGACCATGCTAATTTCTGCCAGCTTTTGCAATGACTTTTAAAGCCTCTGTACTTACTTTTAAGGCCCTGAACGACAGGCTTCATTTACTTAACTGATGCTGTGTGTCTTACATTTCCAGCAATTCATTATGCTCAAATTCAGCAGTACGCTCTACCTTGCCCCTGTTACCAGCCCATGTCAATTATTTCCTTTCAATGCAAAGATGCCCCAGTGGCATGCCAGGTTCCAGAAGTGTTATAATGGCGTTAAAAATGCACAGAGTCCTGGGCTATGCACCACTCTGTCCATTCCAATTTCAGATCTCTAATCTGTTTCATTTATAGCAAAGAGGAAGAAAATACAGGGGCTTCTCAGTGACTCCAAAGGGATGATCATTTTACCCTTTTTTCCTTCCTGCTGTCTTACAATGTTTCTACAAAGAATGCCACATGAAGCCCCTGATGTCAGATTAATAGGGTCTCAAAGCATGCAGGATGGAGTCTGCAGCACCTTAGACATACAGCTGCTACCAGACCCTCATTATCAGCAGAGAACAGGTCAAACGATACCAATTGTTGAGATGCTTGTTCTGAACAATCTGTTTCCATTTCAACAGGGGTAATGCACACCCAGCTATTTTCTTCTTATGTTTACACAACTTCTTACTCCCACTTTGAAGGCTGGGCAAATCTTCTACACTGGGAATGACAATGCAACTCAGTCACGTGGGTGTATAATTTACTGATGTGCAATTAGCCCTGTTGAATTCTGTGAACCACTCCCAGTTTCTGGAACTGCAAAATCAGAGCGTTAAAATCGTCCACAAGTCGTCTTTCCTTCTATTTGAATCTCCCCTTAGGATCTCAAGCTAGACCTAGAGTCAAGCACAGAAAGCACCAGACAAACGTAAGTTGCTTCTCAGCAGTGATTTCTTTGCCACTGCCCGAAGTGCACTTTGCAGAGCTGAAAAGCAGATCGTGGAATAAGGACCGCTTACTTTCTCTTTGATTGCTTCATAGTCAGGTCCAAGGCCTCCAAGCTTCACATTCACATTCAGATTTATGTAGGCTTTTGAGCTACATGGCTGAAAAACAAACACCAGATTTTCCTTTGTATGATTTCATGGAGAGCACAATTAAAGCAAGTCTTGTGGTGGACACCCAAGATAAAAGCAGGATTCAACTTGCAGTCTCAGTCTTACCTCTGGCATGTAAGTGACCAAAATGATTGAGTTAATTGCACAAGTAAAATTAGACTGTATTTCCTTTGAATCTAGGTGGGTAATCATCCAAATTACAAAGCAATGTTTTCTCAGTCAAAAATGATCTATTGTGAGCTTTATTTTTAAACAGCTTGAAGTGACCCATTTGACTGTTATTAAAAAGTACCTGATTTTGGTGGTAAAAAAACGAGGCAAACATTATTAGTAATAGTAACCTTCCTTTGTTCTCAAAACTGCAATGGAAAATTGTTCACAGACAGTTGAAAAAGACATGCCTTGCAGCACAGCAAAAGCTTTACAAGTGCCCAGGGAAGAAGAAGCTGAGCAATGGGTTATGCCATTTCAATACTTCATGACATTACTCGAAAGACCCCAATACTTCCAGAATCTTTTAAATCTCTTTCAAGAACATTAGATTGATTTTTAGAAGTGGGTGACATTTAAAAAACTCACTATGACCAGCTCTGTAGTAATTTCAATCACAAGAGTAATGCAGAAACACCAAGAAATTTCTACAGGAAAACAAAATGTGCATTTCTTCAAAGGGCATGTCCAAGTTAAACTCAACTGCAGAGAAACTAATTCCATGCACTGAATTTTCTATTTAATGTTTCTTTGTGTCAGTTATCCTTATTCTTTTGTGACATACTTACACCTAACTTTTAATTAAAGGTACTGTGAAGAGTTAATCATTCAGCTGTCTACAGCGAAATCAGGGTTTTCTCACTTCATTTGATGAGTATGACTGCATTCGTTTATCAGGAAAAGCCGGATTTTTCTGTGAGACATAAACAGTCTTATTCTCTGTGGCATTCCTCACATGCGAAGCGTGAGAAAGATACTGAAAATACAGGACAAAACCAATGGTTTGAACTCAGGAGAACAGAAAGGGAAGGAAATCTGCCCTTCAGTTACTATCATAATCCAGCTAATTCTTCTTAGAGGCATTCAAGCAGCAACACACAAACTGCCTCCTAGATGAAACACACGAGTAATTATTCCAGCTTAGTTTGTCTGCCCTGAGACTTGCAGCTAACTTCTTAAACATTTAATTTGTCATGGACACACAGGGATATCTCCATGCTGTTCCACTGCATCTGTGTTAACTGGTTACAGTATGAAACCGGACACACAGAAAAGACAAAAACAACCAAGTTTCAATAAGGACCAAAATTGGATCATCAGGGGACTTGTAATAATGTTTATGCCGTTAGCTTTACAAATCCTCTAAGTTTGTTGTTGTTCCACTTGATTCCCTTGGAAACCAGGAGATTTGAGTTGGATAGCAAATGAGCATGACCAGGGTAATGGTTTGCTCAGCTCTGAGGCCTGGCTACCTGCTGCTTTATACAAATAGCTTTATTCTAAATCATTTTATCACTGGGTAACTTAAAGGACAAACACTGCTCTGTGTGTTCTTAGAGCTAATCAAGACTGAAAGTGACACAGGGTGAGGTGGTGGTGAACCGCCTTGCTCTTTAGACTGAAATGATTGCACTGTCTGTTTCCACCTTTGTTCCTTGGTTTTTAAAGCTCTGGGCAAGTCAATGTGTGACAGTGTGCTCTCTGTAACAATGAAATACTTCTCAGTCCCCATTATTTTTTTTTTTTTTGGGGGGAAGATCTTTGGATTATTAAGAAAAAAAATATTAGCGAGAGGGGGAAATAGAAATGTGAAACCATCCAATCCACATTTCTTCGCTTACCTTGTTGCTGGCTTTAGGCTGTTTTTGCTTTTCCATTTGCATGAGATACCCTTCTGAGATCCTTCGGCTTATTTTCACTTGATTTCCTTCACTGGTCTCCGGATCTACCTCTGAACCACTTTCTGCCTGTGGGATTATAGGTGGAAGCAGGCTGAACAAGTGCCTGTCAGCTAAGTGAGCTTCTGTCAAACGAGTGATTTCTTGGTGACGTCGCTCCATCATTTGTGTAAATTGGGAGGTTGTGCAAGGGGCTGTTGGTGAACTGTGAACAGAAGATTGAGAAAGCCTCAAAAAAGAAAGAGGGGTAAAAATAAGAATCTTTATTCGTATATAGCAGATGGCTCAACAAGAAATCTGTACATGGAACGATCCTTGCTTACAGAATATATGGGGAACACGAAGATGGAAAGATGGGTGTTTCACAGTGACTGACTGCTTGCACCCAAGTGTATGGAAACTGTTTAAAATAAATGGAAAAATTGTAGATGGGGAAACTTTCAGCCTGATGCAAAGCTAGCTTAAGCCAACGAAAACTGCCTTTAAATGGCTTTGCATTGGGCCTGCCAAGTACTGAAAGAATTAATTGTCTATATGAAATAAAACCTTCATTTTTATCAAGGCAGGTGAAATTCTACATAACTAAGGATTTTCATGCCCTTCCCCATGTGTGGCAAGCCAGAATTGGCACTGGAATGACTCTGGATATTCATGCTGCAAGGCACGTTTTGATATAATTCTGTGCAGCTATCAGCAGACTTAGTTTATGCGCAGTCCTCTTTGCTAGCTATTTCTTAAACTTCACCTTTTAGCCTTTCAGAAGGAAACTTTCAGTTGTGGAAAATTCTGTGTGCAACAGAGCCTGGAGTACAGAACTGTCCTTTTCCAATACCATATTTAGCAATCAATAGTTGTAATGCATCTTAAGTTGGGAGTAATCTATAGTGGCAGAATAATTTTGTACTCTGAACTTTAAAACATTTTCTTGTCCATTTCTTTTTTGTTTCTGGGCATCATAGTGTTATAATACCCTTTCAACACTTACAGCCTTACCATAAACTACTGATAGCATGCTGCTGATACCTTTTATCCGCATATATGGGTCTTTTGCAATCCTGAAGTGATATTTGATTCTTCACCAATTCTTGAAAATTGGCACTAAAAGTAGATGAAATATTCCTCTGATTTGGATGTGCTTGACCATTGGTACTGTTACGACTTGTGAAACACAGCACAGGGACATGGTTGTATAAATGTTGCTGGTCACGTGGAAGTCCATTTGGAGGATCATGCTGATACTTCTTGTTCTCCTTGCTGGTATATGCTGGAGATACAACCTCTGCTGGGTTAAATTTATGTAATGTTGGATGAAAAGGATAGGTAGATGTGGTAAAATCATGATTAACAAAATGTCTTGAATTTGGAAAATTATTTAAGCAAGTATCTGAATTTGCTGCTGTACTAGTGTCAGGGCCAACACGACGTGGATGCGGCCATTTCTTCAGTGCGCTGCTGTTGTCTTGCTCTACTGCCTGCACGGGAGCAGCCTGAAATTCTGCTGTTTGGTGGTGCCTGTGATGCCAAGACTTTGGTTCTGCTGGTCTTCCTGGTGGTGGTTGGCTATCATGCCTTCGGAAAGCTCTCCCTTTGAGACTCTGATCGGATTTAATTTTGTTCCTCTGGGAGGATTTATTTTGGTGATCCTAAAAGAAGTTATCGAAAGTGGGGTGAATTTCAATGGCTGCTATTTTATATGTTCATTAAGATCAACAATATACAAGTGTATGGGCAAGTTTGCCTCTCACAATGTCTTTCATGAAGCTATGTCTTAGAATTCTACAATTTAACTGATTAACTGATGTTTTGACTAGATTGCATCATGTTCTATGATGCTAATTCAGGACAACATTCTTATTTTAGCCCTTAAAAAGCTGCACAGGTTACAATGAAATGAGTTCTGGACAGGTACTGAACTTTGAAATGTGTTGAAGCGGTGCCTTGAACAGGCCTGAACAGGCTGGAGTGCATAATCATCTATCCTTTTAAAATCAGTGATGTATGGGGCCAGCCACCCCTGTTTAATGTACACTCACAACTTGAAGAGAATTACCGGTTTTATAGGGCCAAGTGAGTATCGCGATGGAAATTAGTTTAAAAGTGAGCTCTTAGCAGGGAGTGAAGTGTAAAAGTAAAAGCATCTGTGTCCTGAAGTCTAGTATGGTATGGAAAACAGTCTCTCTTTTTGGTATTTGTAAGGCTTTGGGGTTTTTGAATTAACAGAACATGTCCTGATAGAAGGGCCCTTAAAGAGACCTAGGTATGGTATTGGTCCTTCACGACTATGAAACAGTTCTTTACTGTACTGATAATGAGTTAGGCCAGTTGCACAAGTTTGACTAGACTGGTGATGGCCTGGATAGACTTAAATCCAAAATTAAAATATGTAGGAACCCCTAGTCAAGAACAGAAGCACAGATGCTATTCAGGTGCTGCACAGACAATGTGTAATACTGCATAGAAGCTTTGCTTAATGGCCTGAGACAAATTCTGAAGCAGAACATGATGAAAATGTTTCTTTACAGATGCAGACCATATCTAAGAAATTATGCTCTGGTAAATATGGAATGAGGGAGTTCTATCTGAATGAGGTGCAAAAGTAGGTGCCCTTAAATGCACAGGACTACCGTCAACCATCTCCAGAAAATGTTTCAAAAATCAGATCAGTTCTTGGGTTTTATCCTCTACTGAAAGTAAACACTACTAAATTTCAGGAAAAGATGGCTACGTACACACTATGAGGCTGGTCCACAGTAGAGACAGACTGACGTCAATGACTTACATAATTTTGTTTCTAAACTAAGCACTCCTCCCCGCCCTGTATCCTGCAAAACATTACCCAAATGATAAGAAACAATTTAAGAATTTAAACAGATCAGGACTACTGTCTTGAGATAAACTGGCATACTCTAAAGCTGGAGTTTATTTAAGATTCATCACTTTCCAATTACAGCATCAGGTGTTGTCCATGTTGAGGGAAGACATGGCTTTCCTTCTAGGGAATATACAAATCCATTCTCAGTCCATTTAATCTTTGTCAGCACTAAAATCCTGCATTTCATCCTCCTGTCTCTCTAGGGTTCTTTTGTTAGCAACACTTGCAATCACTACGTAGCATATGCACTCAGAATAACTACTTAATGGTAGGTATTAAATCCACGTATAGAGCAGAATGTTTTGGCAAAAGCTTTAGCGCTGGGGAATCCCGACTCCTGGTGCCAAGATGATGATTTGTTAGCGCGACCTCTGCTGTAACGATTAATGTTCTGGCATACTGTGCCACTGGTGGAAAGCATGAACTGCTGCCAAACTGGGACCAGGCCAGTGTTTTCCCATTTAAATGGAATGAGTGGCTCTGTAAAATACCTCCTTCATTCTGAAATTCTCTATATAAAGCCCATCTCTCACAATGAACAGCAGCATAAAATCTTGTTTGTCCTTTATAGACGTGCAGTTTCCAGTCTTAAGTGAACAGCGGGGAATTTAAACAGTCTGCCTGAATTACTTCAGATACTTGCAATACAGAGAGAATTATTAGGTGTGCCAATAATAATTCCAGTTGGCTGGGAGTTCTGGTTCTGCAGTTCTTGGTTTTCATCGGTGATGATAATCTGGTCTCTTTTATTGCTCCAAATACATTGGTTTGAAAGGCCAGCATAAAACAGATCTATAGACATATGTGCAGACAGAAGGTCAGTGCATCTTTCCTACATGTAACATTTTCTTTTTTATGGTAACTCCTTGATGTTCACGGGGGTTTTAGGAGATGGGTAATGCAACAGCAGTTAAGTTCTAGCTCAGAATCCTCATGAACCATCAAAGGTGACCATGTACTAGTTTGTGCTTTTACATTAATATCAAGCAAATAATGTGCTAAATACATAAGATTATTTGAGCTCAGAATTACAGCTTTAAATATTCACACTTCAATGCTTTTACGAATACATTTCAATTATCATGTTCTACGCAAAAGGAACCTTGAGCTGCTGTACTTTCAGGTACCATTTGTCTTCAGGCTCCATTTTCACAGTCTGGAATGGCAGGACCCTCTGAACTGGTTCCTCGTCAATAGCGTTAGGATCTTTAACCTAAAAACCAAGAATGTTTATGGCCATAGCCCAACTACATGAAAGGATTTAAAAGTCTTGGGGAAAGAATGAAAAATAATTTGCCTCCTATTAAAGCTAAAATGCTAAAGTTAGGCATTATGTAAGAGATAACAAGAAAATGAACAGCTAAAAGACAATGTGAAAAAGGAAGCACAGAACCATTTAACAGTGGTGTGGTAGTAGGGAGTATTCCTTCTACTTTTAAGAAGAAGAGAGGAAAAGAAAATTGCGGGAATTACGCACCACAGAAACCTACTTGTAAATCTCAAATGTCTGGCCTTCTCCATTTATATGAGAGCCAGAGGATGTACCTAATAACAAAAAAGCAGCTAGACAATCATCATTGTCCAAGCAATCAGCCAGTGTACCAAGATATTGATGGATGACACACACCATGGCAAGGTCTTGAACAATAGGGTCATGCAGAAAAAGATGGCAAAACATACTCATGTTGGTAGAAGAGTACAAGGAGTAGCTGCAGAAATGAAACATCTAACACACACACAGCCTGGCGACAACACCAAACAGCTTGTGCGAAACAGCAAGCCCCCACACAAGAACATCTTCACACAGCCACAGTTGTGGTAGCACGATGGCTGGAAATGAAATTTGAGCAATTTTTTGAGGGTGGCTGCTGGCGCTACAGATTTCAAAGCCAAGCAATACCCTGGTAAATGTAGCAACAATAAACATTTTTCTTGAAAACATCACTTTTTTTCCCAATCTATAAAACTTCAGGAAAAACAATGCTTTTTTATTTTTTATTTATACTTGTTTTGTCCCAACCTGTCCTGCTAATTATTATAGCAGGTGTGACCTCAATTAAGTGTGCAGTTAGGCAGTCTCACCCTAGAGACTACAGCTAACTATGTGCTGGACTCATGCTTGTGGTAAGTACCTGTGCACCGCTGCAGAGTGACACTGGCTAACACAGGAGAACTTGCACCGAGAAGATATTTGTGACCAAGAGAATTACTAACTGAAAATCACAGTCGTGAAGGAAGTGTTAAACAACCCTTCTGGGGAGCTGAGCCTCTCATCTTTGGCGGTGAGAGGTTGGGACAACTAGGAAAATGTAGGTGGGGTTTATTATCGAGTTTTCGCGTGATCTCATTGCTTCAAATGGCAATGCAGATTCTATTAGATGGGACCAGAAAAGTTCACAAATTGAAAGTTACCACACAGTTTTCCTGACGTGTGGATAGATACGGCTTTGCAGGCAGCAAGATGTTTTTGGAGGAACCAACCAACTCACCGCACTGATAGTTTACTGGGCAGGTAAAGCATACTTCTACATTATCTCTTTGAAAGAGGAACAGGACACAACCTCTGCCAGCATTTTTTGTGAACTATTCTATTAATACCAATCAAATTGAGAAAATGATCAAATGAAATTGCATTTTGAGAATCATAAGCTGTATAATGCCTATTCTGTTAAATTGAGGCCCATAATTGCTTCTCTACTGAAAAGATACAACAAAGACAGCAATCATGGCATGTCATTATCCCAGACTAGAAAACCGGCCTTTGCAGTGAGGACTTCAAAGGCTTGTGGTTCTCGAATTGCATTTGGCTGCTATTGTTGAAGCGCAGGCAATCTTGATTAGGTGTTTACACTGAGGTAAGGCGCAGTGCACAGAGAGTCTGAGTGCCTTGGTCTAGAGCCATTAAAAAATTGTACATTATGTTCCTTGCTTTGAAGTAAGGAGCTTGTAGGTAGGAAAGCAACTCATATTGAGTACAGCTGAGCTAGATTGGGCCACTACTTCTCTCTCTTTCTCCCTCTCTCTCTCTCAAAGAAACTCATCATCAGGTTCTTAAAGGATCAGGCAACATTGCAAAGAATTTGATGCTTTATAAAATGCTATATAAATTAGTAAATATACAGATCAACACACATTTATGGTATGTTTTGGTACATACAGCCTGCTTTCTATGCACAGAGATAACAGCTGTAAATCTTGCAAGAATGAGGCTGCAAATATTTACCTAATGTTATGTCAGTTGAAAAAAGCTGTAGGCAAAGTACTTACTGCAGTGTAAACACATTACCACAGGACCTGACAGCCAACAGAGACCATATCAAGAGAAACAGCGTCAACATCCTGCAAAACTCAAAATAATCCAGTTTTGGAAAAAACAGTATTCAGAATATGTTTGATCACTCCAGCAGAAGACATGTGGCTTGTTTGCTTCTTCGCATACTTGGTGTTTTTGCAATTTTGATACAGTTTTCCAGGCCTTATTTCACTCCCTTCAACAAGATGGAGCAATGGATGTCTTGATTAAGAACAAGAGAGGTATGTGCTTCTTCCTATGCTCATCTGCAGCAAATACAAAGGCAGCTGACAGTAAGTGGTGATACTTTTGCAGCTGTATCAACCTGTCAAGGAAAGAAACACACCTTTCTACACGCATGCTGCCCGGCTCCCGCTATGTCACAGCTCTGCTGTCCCCATGGCTACTTCAGCAAGGCAATCTTAGAACATAACCCTAATTTTAACACATTTTTTTTCTATTACACATCTTTGAAGAGTGTCTACACAATAAAGTCCTGATCCCTGGCTCCAGTACTTACATACGAAACATTTTCAGAATTCCCCAAATAGTAAACATAATCATATCAACGCAGCTTTAATTAGCATCAATCTACAGCAATTATTTTTACCATCAACCAAATTATAACTGAAAAAACCAAGTGCTCTTAATAGCTCTGCTAGAAAAAAGCTTGTCCACCATTACACTCATTGTAATGTAGTCAGCAGATGCCCTCTAATGTTGTGTCAACTGTTCATTAGACTTGGTAAACGTGTCACGTGAGGCCGAAAGTCTCTGTAGTTTTGCAAGTTAAGAATCTCCGATGCTACAAGCCGTGGAGTGATTCAATGACTCCCACCTTCCCATTATGCATAATAAATAGCAAGTAAAAGCAACAAACTCATGTATAATCGTTCATTAGGAACTGTAATTACATTTCCACTTAATCCTTAATACAAGTTGTCTGACATTTCACAGCCAATCGTAAGAAAGCTAGGCCCTTCAAATCCAAGTACATGATTGATATCTGCTGACTGATTTCAAAGATAAGGTTTGGTCTGGCTGAGAAAGCAAGTAGAGGGAAAGGGTTGTCTGACCACCCAAATCTAACACGTATTTCTTGGATATTCCTGCATTCATGGCCCTAAATGACAGTGACAAGCAAGAGCGTGCATGGCCCTTGAAAGCAGCGTGACCACGTGTGTCTTCTGGTTCCTAAACTCAAGTGCAACTTCACATACACTTTTTTTTTTGTTATGATCAATGTATGTGGAAAAACACTAATACGGCTTTTAAAGCCAAACGGTGACATCAAAGTTTTCCTACTGCCATTAAAAAAATTGTGAGTGTTCTGTTATTAGAAGCAATTTGCATTTGCTGCATTGAGCAAAACTTGGAAAACGCTATTAGCAGAGATAATCATCATCAAATTCATGTTGGCCAAGCAGAGAAAATCAGAGGCAGCAAAAAAGAACCACTGCTAAGGTGCAACGTAGATCTCATAGAAAGGAAGACAGCATTTCTTTAGCATCAAGATAAAAAAACTAGTGAGAGTTCACCTCTGTGACATGCTTCATGGCCAAGAACATACGCAGCTTAACTAGGCTTGTAACAAGGCCTTCTCTGGGGTTGTGAATAACTGAGGACTTGCCAATTATTCCATAAAGGGTGAACAAGATTCTTACTGGAAATCATAAGTTATCAGTTGCATGATAGATTGTAAATCTAATTACCTCCTCTGCGAACCTGATCACACAGCTATTCCACTTTAACACCAGGCAGTCCTCAGGTTGTGCCCGTTAGGAAACATGTAAAAGTCACCTACCTGCTCTTGAAGAACTTTCTCTTGCTTTTTACTGTGTAATTGAAGATAGGAATTTATCTTCTCTGAACGTAATCCTAAGGTCTGTTTATTTCTTTCCACAAAATCTTTTTTTACTCTTTGTGATTGATCTTCTCGCATCTGAAGACAAAAAGCATGGCCATTTGTACTGGGACTATCTTTGAAATGACAGTTATCTGCAGATTCCTTCCCTTTGGTATGTAGCCTAAAAGGTTCATTGCTGACCACGGCAGTTGGTTCACAAAAGCTTAGTAATTCTGTACCAAACTCCGAGAATGAATCTTGTGACTTTACCTTCTGCTGATTCTTTTTTTCTGGGGAGCCACTGGAACGGAGGTAAAACGAACCTTGTGAAAAGTCCACACTGCTTCCTCCAGCAACTTGAGATGCTTTTTCTGCCTCAGAAAATTCTGCTACCTCTTTTGTGTTCTTCCAGTTAGGATTGTATCTTAGGCTGAAATATTTGTCCACAGGCTGTTCTTTCCTATTTAAAAAAGAAACACTAAATTATTTATGCATAAATTGTATAAATTCTATATTATTTCAGTGTGCAATTCGGGCCAAGGAATGTCCTGCAAATATGGTCAACTGAATTATTTCAGTGCATACAGTATGGCCATTTGTGGGGCTGGGATCAGAACAGTTTTACCAAACATTCTTTTAGTTGAAAATTTAGGCAGGAACTCCTCTTCATTTTTAGTTTTCATTATCAGTGAATGATACATTGGCCTAACATTCAGACCACAGTAGAATACAACCTGAAGTAGAACACAATCATAAGTACTAGTAGAATCAACTAAAAGATGAAATAATCTATTGTAGCTTCTGTTGTTTCCTTTAAAATGATGTGGTCTACAGAACACAGCGTGTGTTGCTCATTCTTCAAAGACTCTGGTGTGTGAAATAAAAGTGATATTCCTGGTAAAATCGCTCTCTCAAATACCAGTTTGAGACTGCCTAACAAGAATAGCCTACAACTCTGTATTTTTAATCTCTCTTCTCATTCCTACGAAACATCATGATGTTTCAATAAAAAACTCTCTATAAAAGACTTAAAGCAACTTCTCTTTTAAAAACAGGCTGTAATTGAGATAAGTGTAGAAAAATATAAATCAGAAAGTTTTGTGGGTTTGGCTTTTTTTTTTTTTTTTTAAACAAGTGTCCAAATCATTGCTCTGAACTACATTTGCCATAAAGCAAACAAAGATGATCTGCCTTAAAAAACCCACAATTGATTCTGTTTATGATTTATGGTCTGATCCAACAGGAGGAAAATCAACTGCAGGAGCAAATACATGCAAATTGGCTTCCAGGAGACTTGCAGGCAGTGGCAGGAGTAAGGAGTGTGGGAGAAAAAAGCTTTTAACTGTTTTTTTCTCAGCTGGACCCGCTGTACAGTCCTGGTTTCTTGGGCACTGGCAAATGGTAAGCCTTTCAGAGTGACATTTATAGGCACTGAAACCTGGTTGACTCTTCAGTTCCTATTAGAAGAAATGTACTCATCTGTCGGATTCTCCAAACTGTGGCATAGTTAATTATAGTAACATTTCCATAAATTATTTATTCATCCTTTCTAAATTAGTTACATGCTTATGCCTATATTTCAAGTGGCTCCTAATTATAAAATAATCTGTTTCTCTAGCAATGCTTTCAATTTCAGGTAGCATTGGTGCCGTGGTATCCTGTATACTACAGATTAGACGATTTACATGGGTGAAAACATTATTCGTGGTTGCCATACACCACAGGTAAACAGAACTAGGTGACCATATTTTGAAATGAGTACAGAAATATGTAATATAGTTGCAATGATTCAAAGAACAAAGTGTAATGCTAAAGAGTTCTATTGTGCTGAAATGTGTGCACAGCAGCTCAATTGTATTATGCAGGCCAGGTCACTGCACGGGAACAAAATGAGTGTGAAGAGCTCCTTCATCTCTAATCATCTGCAGACAAAAAGTGCACCTTTTATTCCTCCCCCCAACTTGATATAAAGGTTAGATGGACTCTGTGCTCATCAACAAAAGTGTTGTATGTCGACAACAGATGCAGCGTTTCCTCTTCAAATTCCGAGGTTAGTAATGGATGTAGAGAGGGGGTTTCATATGTATATGCTGTGATATTTGCTCCGGTTAATGGACTGTATTTGAGTACTTACTAGGCTAAGTTCAAACAAAATAAAATTAAATTTCCATTTAATGAAGAGCCTCACATTCAGCATAGTATTCAGTCAAAAAAATTACTAAAAATTAGAGCATGTTTCTAGTACAATTAACATCATTTGCACTCACAATAAAATATTCAATAACTGGCCATTTTGCCTGTTGAGGAGGTGAATAAAAGCATGCTATTAATCATTTAGCCTTCATTTGTTTGCCATTTTATTTTAAGTAGACAATTAAATTGAAACTGCACATTATTATTACTTCAGGTTTAATTTAATCCCTTTAAGCTTGAGAATTATTCCCAATTTATACAATGTTAAACCTTCCAAGCATATGACGACAAATTAAATTTTATTTTATGTACCAAGGTAATGCTTTCTAAAGAATGTTTAAAGGTGACAGTAACCCTGGCAATTTTAATTTTATACTTGTACTGTGATAAGGACAAAATGCATTTATTCAACCCTCCAATTTTTGCCTCTAAGTTTTCTTACAGGAAGTGGCCTGGTTTGCTCAGCACAGGTGTCTCTGTAAGGAACGAAAAGTGGAGTTGTTGGTTCTGGTTCTTGTTTTCTCTGGTCCTTATTCACAGACTAGCTCCAGAAACCTCCAGCCCATGATCTCAGAGCTGCTACGCATCTGAAGGTCTGACAGTTACATGGCAATGGCTGCCCATTTGGGATGGCAGCCAGCACGTACTGCTAAATATTGTAGGGCCTATTACAGTCACTGGGGCTCCTTCCACTGACTGCAGTTCTGGATCACGTAGGCAGGAATAGGAAGGTATCTACTTTTAACAGGCCTTTACCAGAAGAAACTGCAGTTAAATGCTCCCCCATTAGCCTACCCAGTTATGTTTCTGTTGGCACGTATCTGCTTTCCACTTCTTACCTTCTTGCCTGCCCGGTTTAGAGGCAACTAAATAGGCACACAGCGTTCGCCTCTGTAGGCAAGCGCCTAAAGCCAGTATGTGGGGAGCCTATTCAGGTCTGTGAGGGACCTTCTTCATCTTACCCTCCTACCTCCTATGCTTCAGCCAACATAATAAATGGTTGAGGCTGTGTTGGAGAAATGGGTATAATAATTATGGATGTGGGTAAGATGAAACAGTACGTCTTTGTGTGTAATTAAGTCCATAGGTGCTCTTAATAGCACTTTGGCAATATAAATTGGTCTGGAAGACGTCATGTATATTCTGAGGACCATAAGGTTTTAAAGCATCAGAGCTATTCTACTCATCTACCAAAATCCTACACCTTACCTTCCATTACCACAGTTTTGTATCTCATTTATATATTGATTTGTGTCATACTCAGCTCCTTGTTCTCTTAAACTCATGTCTTCCAAGCTATCTTCTTCTAAGCTGTCGTTCTCCAATGCATCAGAACATAGTCCTACCAGCTCTTCATTTTCACGAATCCGTTGCTGGAGTCCTAACTGATACTGTTTCTCCTGAAAAAGGCTTTCGGAGTCAGACTCTTGGGAGTCGTGCAAACTTGAGGCAAAGCCCCCTTTGCTTACAGATGGCCTTTTGCAGTTCGCAGGGTGGAAATCTGGCTGCTTGAGTACGTTTTGAGGAACATGAGTTTTACTCATGTTGCAAGTGTGTGGAGAAGAAACTGAAATATACTCCGTATCCGAAGAATTCATTCTGTGTTTTTCACTGGTGGCATATGCCAGCCCTGTATTTGGAAAACATGAGAGTAAATATAAAAAGGTTGTTCACTCTCTAGTAATGATTGTGTTTATTAAAAGCTGGAATTGTGGGTAGTATCACTGGCTTAGGCTCAGAATTTGACCTTCTATAGTTAAAACAATTCTTTACTTTCATCTGTTACACTGATTTTCCTTTAAGCAGTTAACGTCAAGGTCACTGTACAGTAAATGCATGATTTATCGCTATGAAAGCTACCTTAGTGGTAACAAAGCTAATCATGTATAAACAGCTTATGAAAAAGAAAATGAAGACAAGACAAGGCAACAAAGTTTTATCTGTTCACTTTTGAGAAGTAAAAGAAACTTTATATGCTCTCTTGATTCAACTTTATACCATGGTGACATGTAAGCTATCAGCAAGAAGGCGTGTGTGACAGAGAACGCAGTAAAAAGAACTGGACGGTTCTTAAATTAGGAAGAGTTTCTTTTCATTTGATTACAATAGGTGTCCATAAGTCATTTGCACCGTCAGATACTTACAAGACGGAGGAAGGAAAAAGGCAGCGTCTGGTGAGGAAATGTGCGTTAGTCAGTTACAGCGCACACCCTGCGACCAGTCCCTTTAAAGGTACCTCGTGAGTTTCACTTTAGTACAGGGGCAACTGTTAAGGTATGGAAATGCAGAATAATTTCTAATTTTTCAGAGTTATCACTGCTTGTTAGACGTGAGTTTACCCTCCGGGATGCCTTTTACACCCGGGCAGACACCTGTATCCACCGCTGCCACCGCTGACGGCCGATGCGCGGTGGCGCACACCCTGCAGCCCCGAGAGGAAAGCCTGGCGCCGGCAAGGAAGCTTTCGCTGGGCACTGCA